TTGAGGGAATGTAACTAACACAGCTCTGGTCCAGCTGCACCGCTGAGAGCATCATCAGCTCAGCTGGAAACTTCACCACCTCTTCCTTCCCATGCCAGCTTTGTGGCAACTTCATCCAGGCCATCACAAGTAGGATGGGCACAGAGCTGCTGAGTTCATCTAGGATACAGTCCATACTTCTGCTGAGGCTATGGGATAACATAAGCACCAAGAGTTATCTGAGCAGATCAAAGTCTATTCACAACACAGTGAATGATAGATCATATTAATGATGGTATTTCTCATTGTGAAGATATTTCTTTTTTTTTTTTTTTTTTTTATCATTCAAATGTCAAGAGTTATTCTTTTATACATTCCCTGGAGTAACAGCAGCCAGGTTTTCACAGAGGTCAGGGAATTTCTTGGTATAGCTGTTTTAGTGAGCTGACTTTTTCATATGTGGGCATAAGACACTTAAATTCATGCTGACACACAGATCAGGCAAACATAACATCAGGAATAGCTGGCATGCTCAGCTTCCTCCTGAGATAAATTGCTTTAAAGTTACTTGGACGCAAGTTCTGAGTACAGACCTGTCTGTTTCCGTGGCTGAAATTCACCCTATGGTAGAATGTTCTATTGGGTTTCCAGCAACATATACATTTGGCTGTTTGCATGAACAAATTTTATCCATACATTTTCAAAGCTGCAAGCACCCATTTGGATTTCATTTGAATAAAGGTGCCTACTTGGATCAACAGTGATTAAATAAGGTAGACAAATACTGCACTCCCACCTTAGAAACTGATGTTACTGTATCAAAAACCTGACAATCTTCCCCATGAAGTGCACAGAAAACCTATACACACTCTGCTGTGCTCTCCTGCTGCCTTCCCCATGGGAATGACTCTGTGCAGCTGAGCTGCTGATGCAGGTCTGAGAAGCTCATGTGAGTAAATACACCAACAATCTTGTCACAGCTTGGAGTGGAGAATGTAATGCATGGTCCTGTGGAAAGGTTCAAAGTGACCATTTTTCTTGTTTCATTACTCCCTGCTTGCCCACCTACCTGCTGAAGGTTGCCCCTTGCCATCCAAATGCCCCACGGATTTCCACAGATCATTTATCAAGAGTCACTTGTCCACCACCATGGGTTATGCAGTGTTACCTCAGTGCTACCTCAGCTCCCCAGCAGAATATCTTGTGTGCCTACTCAGGCCTGGGTTTACAATCGCTGAAGTGGAGCCCAACATGTATTCCTGGGAAATGACATCTCGTCACATCATAACAGTCTCATGATGTGACATTTTGCACAACAAAAGCTTCTCATGGACGAAATGATGAATAGTCCCTGATGGGAGAAAAACACTGCAGAGTTGCTAGAAAGCTCTGGAAAGAAACACTATTTTGTCCCACTGGGGGCTTTCAGATTCTCCAAGATGTCAGCTCAAGGACACGCATTCCCTTCTCCAACAGTGCTACAGGGCGGAAAACTGTAACCAGGAATGGTTTGTTAACGTCCAACTGCTGGTGACCAGTTGTGTTCATTTATGGCCCAATTGCTACCTGACCTTGAAATGCACACATTCTCCTGGTCTCCTCTGAAGGCAACCTTCCAAGCTCAGAACAGTCACAGCCCCTCCTTGTGTTTTCCTGGCTGGATCCGGTGGATGCTCCTCGGGGACCCATGTCTTTAAAGGCATTTATCACATGCAGCAAGGTCTTGGCCCCTACTGCCCTAAAACCCAAGTCTCCCACAGTCTTCTCTCTGTCTCACTACTTCCTGCTCTGCTCTCAGCTCTTGACTGACATACTATTTTAGAGTTATTTAGGGTTTTGTTTCTTCCCACTAGCTCTCAAAGTCATTCCAGGGAAAGAAAAATGTGATTTTCCATTTGGAAAACTCTACATGGAGGACGGATATACCCATATTTCACCCTACTAAAGCAGTTTCAATACATCTAACAGATTCATTCATAACAGATAAATTGGAATTCACGGCTAAAATTCACTGCTACGGATTTTTCAAGTTTTCATTTTAAATACTTCAATACTTGCAAATGAAAGGTTTTGTTTACAAGAAAGTCCAGCCCATACCTAAAGTGCTACAACTAAAGCAGAAGATGGTGGAAAGATCTGTCCAATACCTACCACCTGGAAAAAAAAAATCTTCCTTTCTCAGAAGATATATACTTCATATGGGTATCTGGAAAAAAGCCTGAAACTCCAATGTGCCTAACTTCCAGCATGCCCAATCACAGCATGAAGAAGCAGGACTGTCCACATAGTAGCTAGACAAATACCAATACAGAAGGAAGAACAGGAATTGAACCACATAAATTAGGTAACACCAAAGATTCATTTCTCCAACAGAAACAAGGGCAGAAATGTTTCTCTCCTAGACCTCTCTCTACAGTAGAGCTCCTAAGGAAGGGAGAGACAGACCCACAGGAAATTTTCAAATTCAGGGCAGGAAATGACCTAGGCAGCAAAACCATATACTTACATAAAATTTGCACAGATTTGCTTTGTAAATGTATTACAGAAGACAAAATCAGAATGTACAGGTGAAAAAAATTCCATTAATAGATGTGGACTAAATTTATATTACTTTTCTTCTGCTTTGTATGAAAACAGTGGTGTTTAATATTTTCATTAAAAAAAAAAACAGCTGTGAAAAATATGTTGTGATGCCTACTTACAACAATACGAAAATCACACACTAGTGCATGGTCATGCACTCAAACAGGATGAAAGGTCATGTTAATTCAAATCACTGGCCATGCTGGCACTGCTGGATTCAACACAGACAGCAGACTAAAGTAAAGCTGTTGTGATCGATCCCAAAAACTTAAAATATACCTGCATATTTTACAATGCAATAATATGTTTAAAATAAGTATACTCAAATGGCTTGCATCTTTTGTTGAAGACATTTATTTTGCAAAGAGGATTGTTCAGAAAGGTATAATTTTCAGTTAGATAGGCGAAGGAAAGCAAGGACTGAGACACAGAGTCTGCATGAATAAAACTGGGACTTGCTGTGCTAGTAAACACAGCTCTGATCCAGGTTCCGATGGAGACTGAATTGAAGAAGGGAATTAAACTGCAAAGGGGAGGGATGGATCAGCACAGGTCAGAGGGGACACAGCAAAAATACTGTGACTGAAGGAAGAGACAGCAAAACCTGCAAACACAGCAGCACATACTGATCCAGAAATCTAAGTCCTGCAGTCTTCACATTCTTCTGCTGTCAGCACATCTGGGTGCAACCCAGTCATCTTTACACCCCCCTGGATCCCAGGCCAACCTTCTTCCTGAAGGTCCAGTCCCATGCCCACCAGAGATCTGTGGAAACTGCCACTGCAAAAAACACTTCAGCACCTTCATGTCTCAGGATTCATAATTCTTCCTGATGGCCAAGGCATGCATGAAACCAAGAAATAGACAATTTAGAAACCATATTATTTCTTTAAGGTGCGTTGAATTTAACTCTGATCTGTTCCCCACCAGGCTTCCCTCCCAGGCCACATGAATTGGAGTGAGCAGGAGTGCAAGGCCACGAGAAGAAGGGAAGGACTGATGTATTAGCAGCAGCACTGGTTTGGATCAGCTTGCAATTGTTGTGAAACTACAACCTCAGCATATAATACCAAGCCATTGAAATGGGTTTAACCCAGGGTGGCTGTGGAGGGTGGCTGTGGGCCTGTCCCTCTTATAGCCCAGGCAATCCAGGCCACTCCTCATGAGTGTCTTCTCAGAACTCCCCAGTGAGTCCTTTCAAAGCAAGAATCTGGCAGAAAAATGATCCCAAAAAGAAGAAAGTATATTTTCATTTTCGTTTAAGCTATTTTTTTTTCCTACAGTAACCCATTTCTCCTGTTCTGAGAACACTAGTTATCTGTGCTTCATTTTCAGAGCCTGATTTGATCCCTGTGCTTGATATGCAGGAGCACTCTGTGCTCACTGATGTAACAGAAGTGGGTGGAAGAGGCCATCTGGAAAGCATGGTCCAAGGAGTCTTGAAATAGGCACCCCAAAATAAAGGATACCTTTTACTTGAATCACATTACACCTCTGTTCCTCATCTGCAAAATGGGAACAATTATAGACCATGCTCCCCTCAAAAATACCACAATGAATGTCCATGAAGCAGTTGGCCTCTGTTGTTGTAAACTCTGTGAAGAAAACCTTGTGAAAAAATTCTGTCTTCTGAAGAATATTTCAGAAGCATGTGACAGACAAGATCTACTTGCTGAACACCAGAGGAGAAATGCTGTGAGCAGAAATTCGGCGCACTCCCTTCTGTGCATTGACGTGTGACAAAGAATGGTGTGTGATATCACTGGAGATTTTATCTTAGTGCTTATGCAAACAGAGGCCGAATTAAGGTTGCAGAGGCAGCTTAATTCTCACATTTCTTAACTCCAGAGGGCTTAGTATCACCGTCTGTCTAACACTCTTTCCGAGCTGGGTGCGAACCCCAGGTGAATCTGACAGACAGCTAACACCTCCCTGCTGCTTCAGCATCTCCGGATCACCCACGTAGGTGTCGGGGAGTCCGAAATCTCGGAAGCCCATGGCCGGAGTTCCAGGAGCCCTCCTGCTCCTCCTGCTCCTCCTGCTCCTCCTGCTCCTCCTGCTCCTCCTCCTCCTCCTGCTGCCGCTGCTGCCGCATTTCCCCGCCGCCGGCAGTGCGAGGCTAAGCCGCTAGATGGGGTGCCGTGTGCTCGGCTCCCCCTCCCCGGGGAGAGGCGTTTCAATCATCTCTTGGCTTCAGGTTTTGCAGCCAACCAAAAAACAAAAGAGGTGAAACGCAGCACAAAAAAAGGCATAGCCGGCTTCCTCCCAAGCAGTTAACTTCTGCTTGTTCCCCGTGTTCGGCGTGAAAGGGAAGAAATCAAACGGAGTACACGACGCCCCGGGAATGCTCGGTGCATCAATCCTGGAGGATGCTGAGCCCCCGCTGCCTGCAATGGGCACGGCAGGTGCTCAGGCTTTGGCACGGGTATCAGTCATACCTGCTTTGCCTCGTCTTGTCTCAGCTCCTCGAACCCAGACTGCGCAAGGATCAGTCAGCGATTTCTCTGGCAGTCCACACACATCTGCTTTTCTACTCCACGCGCCAGTCCCAGTGAAATATAGCAGGCACAGTTCCCGTCCCCACCAATACGCCGCCAAATCTCGCTCCCTCTCTCTCTTAATAATGATCTGGAAGCTGGGTAAAAACAACATGCTCGCTTTTAGCAAAGAGCGTGCTTCCTCCTTACAGGGGTAAGGAAGAGGAAAGAGGATGTGAGGAAACTGCGACACAAAAAGATAACCACAGAATTAAAGGAGGAAAAAAATCCTTTCTAAAAGAGTTAGTCCTTTCCAGTGAAAAAACAGAGCTTTACTCAGTCCCAAACTGAACTGCATAATGGTGGCCAGGTTATAGCTCTCTTCTCATATTCCTGAAGAATGATCTTTTGGGGAAGGCATGATGAAGCTGAAGTATGTCTAGTCCATCCAAGAAGGAGTGAAGGGACTCGTGTTTACCTGCATTTCCACCGCTGCTGAATTATGCCTTCTCTCACTCCTCCCCAACAGCTCACAAGAAGAATTGTCCCTCTGAAGGCACCATCCATCCCAATAACAATGCTTATATTAAACCTCTCTATAAAATACAACCAAGCACTCCTTCCCAACATCCAGTTTCTTCCAGCTTCCCACAAAAATACCAACATCTGAGATTCCCTGCACAGTACCCTGTCATGACCTTGCCTGGCCTTGTAAGCTCCTACAGACTCCTTCTCCATGGCCAAGAGAAGGAGAGCAAAAAGCCAGGATGATTTTGAAGTCAGTTTTTTCTTTTCCTTGTATGGTATGAATGGGGAAAGTCCTCCTGGTCAGCAGAGGAAGACTACCTGAGAGCAGCTGCTGGGGATGCCGCTAACACAGGGCAGCAGTACAGGTGGGGGTAACCACACCCTCTGTTCTCCTCTTTATCCCAGCAATGGAACAACTTGAATTTTGCAGTCTGTCACAGACAACACTGCACAGACTGATTTCCCTCCATCTCAAAAACCACCTTGAAAGAGCCACATGCAGGGGTTACACCCAAGTGGCAGTGCAGCACTAGGATTTGGCAGGATTGCACTTTAGTTGTGAACTGGGAGAGGAGCTCTGGCAGACAGATATGTGCCTGCCCAACAGTGTGTCCTGTCACATACCCTGCAGGTGAAAACTCAATTTAACTTTTGTTCCCGATGAATGTGGGCTTTCACAAAGAGAAGCAGGTGTAAAAAAATGTGGCAGAAAAAGAATCACAAAGGAAATAAAATGAGAAAGTGCATTTCAGCTGTTGGTTTTATAATTCATTGCAAAAATGCTGATAAAATGTGCACTGCATCACTCCTGGACATTAATGCAGACCGATCCTGCCTAAGGAGTTTGAAGTCTTTATATAAATTAATAGACAGACTATAATCCCAAGTGCAGTGCATCTGATCATATATATTAATATAGAGACTGCTGATCCACATCTGGCTAAAATAAATGTGTTTTTACACAAATTAGGTTACCACTGATACAAACAGTTTTGGTTCATACTACACAGCAGAAACAGATGATCAACACTATTGCTTTGGTGTAGCACCGTGGTTGAGGAAGTCACCACTAATCAGCTGGGCTGTGGTAACTGCTCCTAGGCTTTTACAATTAGAAGAAGCCACTAGCTTAAACTAGCTTAAGCACTGATTACATTGTTTAAATGAGCACATTTTACCTTACATTTGTAACCACTTAGGAACACCAGCACCAGCAGGCATTGTCTCAACTGCTGGGTGCTACCTTGGGAAAAAACAGACCAGCTGGATCTCTTGCAATCCTTTGGCCACAACAGAATTACAAAAGATCCAGACTCAATAAACTTCAACTTAAAGGTGACAAACAAACAAGAGTTGCAACCACCTGCAAAATGAGCTGCTGAAAACAACCTATTCTTTATGCCAGTGTACCCTATTTATACAATACTAAAACTGAAATTTTGCACTGACTGCACCTATCCCAAGAAGCAGTATGGAATATTTACTGCAGAAATAATTTTGTTAAAATTCTATTGAGCCCTTAAAGTCAAACTCTAGCCATTAAGTCTGCAAAGACGGTTCCATATAATCACCTATAGGTAAGCTTTCAAATGGTAAGTCCTCCAATTTATTTTGTTTGCTGACATAAAGTACTTTTTGGTGTTCTGCAATATGTGGAACATCTGAACTACTGCAAAAACTTGTTTGGGATACTTGTTGAGATCCATTTCACTGGATCTTCACAAATAAATTCATTCCTATTGCAGCACCAGTGTGCATAAACATAGTTTTGATAAAAATGAACTCTAAGAAAGTTTACAAAACTTTTGTCTTCAAATCATATTACCTTGAAGGCTTAATTATTTGTTGCCTACTCTACAGTACAAGTGCTGATAACCCAAACCATTTTCAAAAATTACAAGCCAGACCACTCTATCCAAAAGACTACATATGGTTGATGCCCCTTCAATTTACTTTCCTCAATTTGCTTTCAATTGACTTTTAATTTTCAACCATAAGATCAAAACCTCCCATTTGAAAACAATCAGTTGAATCACACAGCTTTGTCTTAATATACTAAATGTGCAAGATCAGAGATAAAGCTGTTGGCAACACAGCTAATGTAACTGCAGTGAGTTCCCTGAAGTAATCAGAATTAGGTACTCAGTTAGGCTTTATCTGGGCACATGACAAAGGGCAGGGTTATTGTTGTGCTCTGAGGGGACAGTCCCAGGGTAGAACTGTGAGTACCAAAATTGTTATGCTGTGGCAGAGTAATAACTGAACTAACCTCATCTTACTGAGCTAGCCCCTGCTGGTGTGCTCCCAAGTTCTCCTTTGTTTTAAAGGTCCCAGTTGGTCTAGGGCCCGAGTTCAACAGGTACTGTATCCACAAGTGGCAGGAAAAAATGCATTAAAAAGGCATATACAAATGATCAAAAATGGGTAAATTGAATATTTCTTCCCTGTTTTTAGTGTCTGTCTTTGGGTTGCTCTACTGGATAACCACGAATCATTCATAAGTAGAATAGACATTAAATTCTTAATATATTTCACCCATAGATTTCAAAGAGTGATATGAATTTGGTCCACACCCTTCTGTTTACTTCTAATAGCCCAGACTCTCCTTTGCTCATGTGGGCTTTTTCTTCCTGCTATACTTGCCTGACGTTTTTGCACCAGCCTCTGGAGGCCACCCAAGAAGGATTCCAGCCATAGACTCATGAGCAGCTCTGGTGTCTGCCCTCATTGTCCAACCCAACCAGCCAAAAGCAGTCACTCCTCAACCCCAGCTGCACCCTCTGTAGGGCTCCTGATACCCAAAACTGGTGTGTAATCATTCATTTCCCACTTTGGTGCCACTTTTGCAGCCTTACTTTTGTGAAGAGGAAGAGGATTCCCATCCCTGGCTTTGCACCCCTGGGCTGTTCCAGCAGCCACTGAGGCCTAACCCTGCAGCAGCCTGCAAAACCTCTGAGCCTCAGGGGAAAAACACAGAGCCCTCAAGAACATTTTTTGCATACTGCTAAAAGGTAATTAGGGACTTAGTAGAAGAGGTAAAGAAACATGGTATCAAGATATGGCTTCATTCCCATTGAACAGCACTGCTTTGCACCATGAAAAGCCAGAACACTTTTCCATCTGTTATTTTCTCTGATGACAATAAATTATTTTACAATACTGAAAGTTTCAAATGAAAGCCCTGAGGTGACTGCAACTACTTCAGGTGGGCACCAATGCTTTACCTGGGGGGAACCCCTTTCCATGGCAGCCTTGCCTCTCAGGAAAAGACAGGCTGTTAAAATAAAGCTGCTGGAGTGAAGCCAAATCATGGCTTCGGGAAAACGGATGCTATGTCAGGGCTTTATTGATGTTGTAAATCTTTGCAGTTAAGAAAAATCAAATTTCTGAGTGCTGAAGTGATCATTTCTTGGAGCAGTGTTAGAGACAGCATGGGAGCTGACAGAAGGACAGTGGCTCCAATCTTGCTGGGTGAAATATGTTCTGGTGCAGAAAACCCCTAAAACATCCTGTGCATTAACAGGGCTTAAGCTGGAAGCTTGAGTATTGGATAAATCCTTATATGGGACATCTCTGCCCTGAATATGCCTCTCTTTCCTGGAGCTGAAGTTAATGGGAGCCAGTAAATGCCCAGCTGATTCCAGCAGTCATGTTTCTGCTGAATAAAACAAAGTTTAAACGAGCTTGTGCAGACATTAGTGGTAATGCAGCTGGGAGACAAGGGCTGCATGGGGACTAGCCAGAAGGCTGGGATTTGGACACCACAGATCATCCAGCTCTGTGCTACTGGCTGCCATGGTACTTAAAATAATTGCAGTCCTCTGGAGAGAGTATATAGATAAACTCTGTCCTGTGTTAATGCACCATCATATAGAGCTGTTTACAGGCACTGCTTAGTAAAGTACTTAAGCATGTATTTAAACAGGCTGCTGAACATCAGTGTGATTAATACTTTGCTGAATTAGAGATATAATATGAATACATTTTTCTGCTGTTGCAGTTTTTCATTATATACACTTATAAACTGGACATAAAGATTTTCTTTCAGTTTTGCATCCAGCAAATGAGTTAATTTGGGAGTCAAATTCTGCCTTAGTTATGCCTGCACAATGCCTTTCATATGCATGAGGGCAGAAAACTTCTTTTTAATTTGACTTATTTTTTGTTAGTCTATAATCAAGGAAAAAAAAAAACCAATCTAGTGTTCCTTTCTGATCCTGCAGCTCTTTGACATTACTTTCATGTCACTTCTATCAGGAAAATATATTTTACATATGGTGTGTATGGTGATTGAGGCCATGCACACACAGCAGCTGCAGTTCTTGACCAGCAAGCAAGCAGCTGCTGTTGAGTACAGTCTGGAGCCACACACTTTGTTATTCTGCATGTAAAACTGGGTGGGGGGAGGGAGGAGAAGAGAAGAAACATGGCTCTTACATCACTCATCATGGTAATTCTATTTAAATATATTTTAATGATTTCTAACAACATAATTTACCAAGCCTCCCCACCTCAAAGTGATGCAAGCACATCTCTCAATTTTTCCTTTGCAGCTTAGCCTAGGAGGAACATTTACCATCTTCTAGTAAGTTTTGGAGTCAAACCTTTTTCTCAATCCATATCTATATTTAAAATAATCAGAACTCAAAGCATGGGCCTACTCATATACATTAATGTCATCACTGCAGAACCCTTACTTGCATTTACTTGCAGTTTCTG